CTTTTGATGGTGAAAGAGTTGGAATTGATTGAGTGATTTAGAGATATGAGTCTTGTAGTAGACGTGACGCCGAAGAGTGTTATCTTGGGAATGTTAAAGATCAATAATGATTTCCTTGATAGTGTTAGAGAAGCTCAGAATCTTGATGTGAAACTTGTTGATTTGTTGGTTGGTATTGGACAAACTGAAAATGAAGATTTCAAGTTGGATGCTCAGGGTGTATTGAGGTTCCGAGATAGGATTTGTATTCCCAATGATGTGGATTTGAAGAGAATGATCTTGGAAGAAAGTCATAGAAGCAATTTGAGTATTCATCTCGGAGCGACCAAAATGTATCAATATTTAAAGAAACTATTTTGGTGGTCGGGCATGAAGAGAGAGGTGGCTCAGTTTGTTTATGCTTGTTTGACTTGTCAGAAGTCTAAAGTGGAGCATCATAAACCTGCAGGGTTGATGCAACCGTTAGAGATTCCAGAATGGAAATGGGATAGCATTTATATGGATTTCGTAACGGGGTTACCGAATACACCAAGAGGACACGATGCGATTTGGGTGATTGTTGATAGGCTTACAAAGTCGACTCACTTTATTCCTATTAACACCACTTATCCCGTATCGAAGTTGGCGGAAATTTATACGCATGTGATTGTGAGGTTACATGGTATTCCTTTGTGTATTGTTTCAGATAGAGATCCGAGGTTTACTTCTGAATTTTGGAAAAGCTTGCAAGAGGCTTTGGATTTAAAGTTGAGGTTGAGTTCGTCTTATCATCCTCAAACTGATGGTCAGACGGAAAGGACGATTCAATCGTTGGAAGACTTATTACGTGCTTGTATTCTTGAACATGGTGGTTCATGGGATACATATCTTCCTTTGATTGAGTTTACTTATAACAATAGTTTTCATGCTAGTATTGGAATGGCACCGTTCGAGGCTTTATATGGTCGGAGGTGTAGAACTCCTTTGTGTTGGCATGAGTCAGGTGAAAGTGTGGTGCTTGGACCATAATTGGTTAGAGAGACTACTGAGACGGTGAAGATGATTAGAGAATAGATGAGAATTTCTCAAAGTCGACAAAAGAGTTATCGTGATAAAAGGAGAAAATACTTGGAATTTCAAGATGGTGATCATGTATTTTTGCGAGTTACTCCTACAACCGGCGTTGGGCGAGCATTGAAGTCGAAGAAGCTAACTCCTCGCTTTATTGGTCCTTACCAAATTACTAGTAAAGTGGGAAAAGTGGCTTATAGAGTGGCGTTACCGCCAAATCTTTCGAACTTGTATGATGTGTTCCATGTGTCGCAACTTCGGAAGTATGTTCCGGATCCTTCATATGTGATTGAGATGGATGATATCCAAGTGCGAGACAATCTTACGGTGGAGATGATGCCATTAAGGATCGAAGATCGTGAGATGAAGTCTCTTCGTGGCAAAGAGATCTCCTTGGTTAAAGTTGTTTGGATAGGAGCAGCTGGTGAAAGTGCGACGTGGGAGTTAGAAAGCAAGATACAGGATTCCTATCCCGAGCTTTTCGAGTCAGGTAATTTCGAGGACGAAACTTTTTTTAAGTGGGGGAGAGTTGTAACGCCCCGTTTTATTTAAATATTATATTATATTAATATTTTCGAGTTACCGTTTGACGTTTATTTTTGCGACGAGAATATTTAAATTAACCGTTATATCTGTTAATATATTCAGCGACGTTTTATTCAGACCGGTAATTATTTTATTCGGTCCGATATTTATTTTAAGGGACCGGTAATTATTTTATTCGGTCCGATATTTATTTTGTTCGGTTCGATAAAATATTATTCAGACCAATATTTAATTATTCGGAGTTATTTTAATTATTTGGAGTTATTTTGATTAAGTAACCTTTTGAATTATATTTTGGGTTAGTAAGACTAGTGGAGGATAGTATGGTATTTTCATGATGTCTTAAGACCAAAATCCAAACAAAGACATTAGTTGTTGTTTTATGAGAGATAGAAGTATCATAACACAAAACACACTTTGAGAGAGTTAGAGATAGCTAGAGGTCTTGGAAGAGAAGAAGAGGAGCAAGAACAAAGCTTGGGTTTTGGGTTGGTTGGAACATCAAGAATCATTTCAAACATCTAAGGTAAGGGGTTTGATTTTCCAATGCTTATAGTTAGGGTTTGATTTGGTATATTTTGATTTGGGATAAAATTGATGTTAGGGTTCTTGAGATTTGTTGAGATAAATTAGGAGAGTTAATTTAAGTGTTAGTGTTGTGGAATTATTGTTATGTTAATAGAAATTAAATTAGAAAAACTAAATTATATTAATTAAGTTTAATTTTTAAAATAGTAATATGGTTTAGAGCAAACAAAAAGAACTAGCAGTATGTTTAGGAAAACTAATAAACTAGCTGTATAGTTTGAAAAAAAAAACAAAAATGTACAGCATATATTACATGAATTAAGGAAAACTACTAAACTAACAGTATAGAAAACTAACGTACTAACGGCATTAGCGGTATATTAATTGAATTGAAATTAAGTTTAGAAAATTAATTAATTTATGTTTTGTTTTTATTTTCTTAATTTAATATATTAAATATTTATATTAATTAAATACAAATATGACATAAGTTATCCGATTTAATTTGGAACCCGATTATATTCCGATTTTCCGATTTCGGCAATTTCGGCGATGGAGCAAGTTGCTCCGAATTTAACGAAAATTGACGTGCTAGCTAATTTTGACGTGTAAAACGTCGTGGTGAGGTTAGTTTTTAGAGATTACGAGTTTTTAACGGAGCAACCCGAAATAAGTCAATTTACGGTTAAGTTGAACCGGGTTGCATTTTAGTCGGTTTAAGTCGCGTATGGACAATCTGATTGCGATGTTAATGATTATAATTGATGCTGATTATTGTGAATGACTTTTGCGATGATTATTGATGTTTGACTATTTTTCCGTGTTTGAAATTTAGTGAATTATTTGATAATGATGTGGTGTGATTAAATATAATGTTTGCGACGGTTTATTTATAATGAATACTTGATGATATGCGATGCGATGATATGTTTATCTTGATGTGGATGAATATGGCGATGTGGGTTTTATACCAATTTTGATGTGCAATGATGATGTTTTGTTGTGTCGTGTTTGTGATGTCGTGTTGTCGAGTCACATACATTGCATTGGCGACGATGGCTTTTATGCCAAGCGACGAGGGATTTTATGCCAAAGCGACGATGGACTTTTATGCCGAATGTCCCTAATTATGGACAAAGCGACGGGTACCACATGCATAACATAGTCGTGTCTCATGGAGTCAGTTATGTTTATTTTTGAGTCTTTTGGCGTTGAGTTTTATTTGATGGCTTATAATGAATTGCGATGTTATATGATACCTTATTTTTTGATGATTTTTGTGTTGAACATAAAGTGATTATGATGTGATAATTTCATAAAAATTACGCGATGAATATAACATGACGGTAAAGAGACTATATGAGTTTATGGCGATGGAGTTTATGTCTTGTTTTGACATGATTATGGTGATTATGTGATGATATTAAAATGTTGATCTTATACACTAAATGATGATTTTAAAGTATGTGAGATTTGATGTTTGTTGACATATTCTTATTAACCTATATCATTTATGATTCCAAACCTATTTATATATTTTATCATGCTTTTAATTATATGTTTTGGAGTATCTCACCCTTTACTTGTTTCGCCATTGCCTTTATATTGGTAACGTGCAGGTGATCCGCGAGGATGATGAGGATTAACTCGAGTCTCTTTATTTTGAGTCGCTCTGCTCTGATAGTAGTAACACTCGGGATTTGGGTGACGTTATTATTTTGATAGAATAGTTTATGTATACTATCTTATGACCTTATGTATTGATGATAACATGATGATACGTACATTTTATGAACACATCCTCTATGCTGTGATTAGTCATATGTTTATATGATGATTTATGTTATGAATCAGTATATCCGACTTTTGATTTTGTGATGTGCATTATAATGCAAAGTGATGAAAAACACGAATATGTGATACCTCAATTTATGTTTGGATAAGATTTTGAAATTCTGATTTCATTATTAATTACGAGGGTTAGAATTGGGGTGTTACAGGGGGTGTGAGCGTCCTCAGTCTATTCGGGAATTGTCCCCGCATGGTGAGGTTGTCCCCCTCGCGGGAAAAGGTTAGTAGTTTCCTGTCGCGTTCGAGGGTAGTATTGGTCAGTGGTGCAGGTTGTCACACTTGGATTGGGCCTCACTGGGAGTTGGGTCAAGGGCAGACCCAGTCCAGAACACAAATATTTTTATGAACAAATTATATTTATGTATCAAATATAAATAAAAATATATCTTTCTTTTAAAAACAATAAATTATTTTGGTTAAACAACTTTGTTTTTCTTTTTTATTTATTTATTTTTATTGCATTTTAGAAACAAATCCACATAACATACGTTTCCCCTACAAATGCATAGATATCCACTAGTTAATAATTCATGTGTCTCATAATAAATATATATATTTTTATTTGTCTCAAATTATTTATTGCTTTAGAATATCATTGTGATATTTATTGTATTTATCATTGCGATATTTTAATTCATATAATTATTCCACTATTTATTATTATAAATGAAATTTATTTTATCATTAAAATCAATATAATTTTAATTATTATCTTTAAAAGTTTAAAAATCTCAAAGATAACCCCTAGTATAATATAAGTATTGAGAATTGATTGCCAAATCTAGTATTTATGGGTTTCCATAAGCAATTCATAAATTCATAAATTCATAAAACAAATTTATTAACTCAAAAGACCACACTACCCTTACCTCAGGTGAATTTCGAATTTCCCGAAGATCAAAACTCACAACAAGCATCGCACACAGCTCATTCAGTAATTACGAATCTCTCTTCTCGGAAACTCTCTCCGGATTTCCCTCTCCCGTAACGGAGATTGTTTTTCCTTTCCCGCCGATCCCTCCACCATGAGTACCGGCGAGCTCCTCGATATTCAACCGGAAGAACTGCAGTTTCCTTGTATGTCATAAACTGCACTCGATTTGATGAAAACAAGTTTCGTTAATTTAACATGCAATTTTTTATTCTGTTTTTTTTTGACGATTTTTGTTTTTTTTCTTCTGGTTTTGTTTGTTGAATTAGTTGAATTGAGGAAACAGATCTCGTGTTCTTTACTGTTGTCTAACAAGACCGACAACTATGTTGCTTTCAAGGTTTCGTTTTTTTTTACCCTTTGTTGAAATTCTGCTTCAAATTTGATTCGTTTGTTTTTAATTTAGTGTATGTTTTGGTATATATTCGAGATTTTTTCTTGAAATTGATAGAATAAGATGATAAAGAGAGTAAGAAATCATATTGATTTCTAAATGTGTGAGGGGTGTCATTTAGTCTTTAAATTATAGTCTTTATACGTAGCGCCGACACTTTTGAAAAAAGGTGCATCCATGTTAATATCGGTATCAGACATCTGCATTGACATTTGTGATTACGCTGAATTTATTCATATTTCAAATTATTATCTGGGTCGCCGTGTCAATGCCGGGATCGTGTTTAGGGTGTCCGTGCTTCGTAGTAGTCTTTGAATGTATCAAAATTACAAGAATATTATTTAGTGTGTCTTTTGTTAGTAATTTGATGTACCTAATTGACAAAGAAAGATATGTTTAAAGAATCAAATTATTTAAAGTAAAATACATTTGAGGACCAAATTGTCTAATGAGCAATGTAGCGCTGACACCTCTGGAAAAGGTGTGTTTGTGTTCATGTCAGACACCCACATTGACACGACACTAATGCCTGTGATTACGTTCAGTTTTTATTTTAAAAAAAATTAATATCGGTGTCGATGTATCAGTGTCTGTGTTGTGTTTGATGTCCATGTCTGAGGCCATGCTTCATAGTTAATGAGAGACATGTTCAAGTATGTTTTTGTAACCTTGGGCGACTTATGGGACTATAGCTATAATGTCCGACGCAGTCAATGACCAAAATGACTAATTATTTGACAACTGATCATATACCATAACATTTCAATCACACCTAATTTTTTCTAAATTTATAGCTTCCTTAATTTTCTCGAGATTAACGATTTGGCTAGAAGCATGGTTCTAGATAGAACATTATAGTTGATTCATGTAGCCGACCCCACTTAGTGGGATAAGTCTTGGTTGTTGTTGTTGTTGTATAACTTCCTTAGTTTAGAAAAGAAAAATAAGTCCTTTCCTCCCTACAAAAATACCCTTAAGGTTTTATTTTTCGGTGAAGGGAGATTTGAATATGGTTTTGGTTCTTTTTGTGATTGGTATTTGATTTTGATGGGGAGGTGCAGGTTAAGACTACAAATCCGAAGAAGTACTGTGTTAGGCCTAACAGCGGGGTTGTGTTGCCGAGGTCGACATGTGATGTTATAGGTTTCTTTCTCTCTGCACTTTTCTAGCTTTATTACCTTCACTGCTCTTTGCTTATTTATCAACTCTGTCAATGTCTTGTTCATTCATTAGTAACAATGCAAGCGCAAAAGGAGGCACCTTCTGACATGCAATGCAAAGATAAGTTTCTCCTTCAAAGCGTGATTGCAAGTCTTGGAACTACCACAAAAGATATTAATCCAGAAATGGTATTTACTCTGAAAATAACGATAATGTTTGTTGACGGAGTTAATAACTTTGCATGTGACTGTTATCTGTTTCTATGCATGCAGTTCAGTAGAGAGGCAGGCCACAATGTTGAAGAGTGCAAGTTGAGGGTTCTTTATGTTGCTCCTCCTGGACCTCCTTCTCCAGTTCGAGAAGGATCTGATGAAGACTCTTCACCCGATTCTGCATCGGAAAACGGGCATTCAAATGTTACTGAATTTACAGCTGTGAGTAATTAGTGATTTTGTTGTGTTTTCAAAGGATAAATAAATCCCTACCTTGTTATTTTAGTTGTTGTACTTACCACACATTGTATTGCAGGCTTCAAGAAATTTCAATGGGCGGGATGAACCTGTGGGTGCTACGTTCGAGGTAATGCGTTTAAATTACATTCTTGCTTTTGTTACTTGGTTCTTGTTTGTGAAATTCAATGTGCCACATGCTGATCAAGGTTTTAATGATTATGTGTGCATAAGCAAATGTTTATATTCTGTGTTTGTGCATAAGCAAATTGTTTGGAAGTTTGTATCTCATCTCATACATTTCCCCCCTCCATTTCTCTTTCATTTTTTATTGCTTTGGAACTGTGGCTTGTTTAGTGAACGTCACATAATTTTAAGAAATATGTGATGCCACGTGCACTTGCGATGAAGAATTGGAGATGCTTTTTGATGTTATAAAAGAAAGCACAAACCTAAGGAAGGATCTGAAAATCAGGTTCATGCTGTTTTGGAAAATAGCTTGACCAGAAACCTGTAGTGTGTCTCACGAGTCATTACAATTAACAGTGTTTTTTCACAACAACTCTCTAATATGAACATGATGCCAAATTTCATGTCCAACCTTAAGAAGAAGCTTGCTCTGTTTAAATCATTCCTGAGCTTATTCACAATAGCGGTTGGATATCTTTTAGACCCGCTAGTGGAATGTGGGATTGATCTCCTTGGATTAGTCGGTCTCATGGTTGGATACCGAGTTTTAAAAAAAAAGCATCACAATCAAAATATTATACACGGAAATAAATAATGTTTTCATACAAGAAATAAAGGAGAGAACATCTCAACAAATATAAATCAAATATCAATCAACACCGTATCTCAACAAATACAATGGTTGCTTGATGCCAAAAGTTCACGACATTTTGAAATTTGACTGATATATTGCTTGTATTGTTAATGATTTCTCTCCGTTTACTAGAGCTGTTAATTTGTTTAGTTACTGATCAGGTAGCTAATGAATCAATTATTCATTAAACTTATGACAAACAACTGTAGTTGATAATGTTTCATGTTCCTATCCCTCTCTTACGTACTGTCTCACCTCAATAAAAAACTCTGTAAAAGGATATAAAAAATAGTTCATGCTTTACAAATTTGTTCTTGATTTGAGAAAAACTACATCAACAATACTGCAAACAAGATGGCATTGATTATGCCTTTACAAGTTTCTACTAGTTAAGGTCAAGAACATGATAGATATCTGATAGAAACCGATACCAAACAATAAAATTTAATAGTAATTACAATGGGTTTCCAAGAAATTCGAGAGTTTTGGTTCTCTCCCTTCCAAGAATTCGAGAGCTTGGTCTTTGCCTCCCAAATATGACCTCTTTCCTATGACGCATAGGTACGGCTACGTTACTAGGTGCGGGTACCGGTACGAAATAAGGCATTTTAAAAATAATCAAGGTATGGGTACGTTAATAATAAAAAAGTTTTTTCTAAAATGTATGAATAGAGAACTGATTTGTTAGATTCATAACAAAATATCACTATAAAAGTTTTAAAAGATAAAAAATAATGTTAAGATACAATAATAAATAAATTAAAATACATAAATATACTATATTGATATTTGAGAAAATCACAAATTTAACTCAAAATCAAAGAATGAAAAAAAATTAAGTACCATGAGTATGGTATGTGTACCCGGTACCAATACTTCACCATTTTAGAAGTACCATGCTTTTGAGGCTCTTTCTAATTTTCCAGGATGATCAGAACATTATTCTGTTTCCCTTCTTATTCTGCCTAAGTTTTGTAACTCCTATTAGTAATAATTGTTACTCTAATAATACTAATGTCTGCTCTTAGACTTTGTAACTGCTACAGATAACTTTTATAACTTGCTCCTATGCCTGTAATTGATACTTGACATAATAGAAAAGCCACATTAAATTTTGGTTAGGGTCTAACAATATCTTAGATCATTCTTTTCGGAAGTTCAGAACTCCTTTGAAATATTTTTCTTTTGATTTGACTCATCTTGTATGAAATGTCTCAGGAACACATAAATTTGTAATTTCTAGCTAAATGCACTGCATTGTTATCAAATATCCGCCATGGCAGCACTATGGCTGATATACATGACGATTTTTGGGCTCGCCACAATGGTAAATATTGGCCGATATTGCGGGTTTTTTTCCGTCAAAATCCGCTATAAAGGGGCTGCAAAGCGCCTGGTATGGCAGGATTTTGGCTCTCCGCAATCGACAACACTGCTGCACTGTATTACTGAGCATCTCATTTATTATTGATGTAGTCTGAAGAAAATTTCTGAATTGGATTGATTTGTTTCATTTGTTTTTTACATTGATAAATGTGTTGTTGTAAGAAAGTTGCTTTTAGACTCTATTGCTTGTAGTTGTTGTCTCTACCTATGGAATTATTCTTGTATTTATTCTGTGTATTTATGAGAAAAATTGTTCTTATTTTGATTTCTGAATATTTCAGACAACAACTCTTGTTTCAAAGGTGACCGAGGAGAGAAATTTGGCTATTGACCAACAGAGAAGGCTTCAGCAAGAACTGGTATGTAATGGATATAAATACAAATATACATCTTTAAAGCTTGCTGACAAACTTATAGTTAGCTATCCTTAAAATTTTCATTGATGCTCTCGATGGTTAATTATGGCATTTCTGCTTATTTTAAAAAATTGCACTCTGTAGTTAAAGGTAGAATGGTAATTGCTTCCCACCTTTCCAATATGTTATTATTTGAAGCTACACCGACGTTGGTATAGCCTGGATTCAATACTAAAATTGTTGTTGAGCTACATTCAAGAAAAGTTCACATGAATCAAGTGTATTTTAACAGAAGCTAGATCAAAATATTGAAGAGAATGTCATTTATTGATTGAAAATAACTAGGGGTATTCGAGACCTGGCCTGTCTCGGTGATCCAACCTAGCCCAAACTCTTAAACTCCGGGCTTGGCCCATTCCACAAAGCAATGGGGGTGGGTTAGGGCGACATTTTATGGTTCAATGTTTGGTCTAGGAACAAGCTTGGTTCAGCCTTCAAACTGTCTATATACGCATACTTTCCTTTTACCTTTTCGTCAGCATTTTCTTCTTCTTTCGCTAATTATAGTTGGATCTCTCTTTTAATCCCCTACGGAAACAAAGATAGTCTCTCTAATCTCTCCTATTATTTATAGCCTGTCATCTTATAGCGCCTAACTAACTGGTTTGTTCCCCCCTCCTCAAGGTAAAAGTTAGGTAAGAAAAGTATGAATCAGGACCCTAGCCTTCACCCTTTCTATTAGGCTTTGTTTAGGAGTATGGAGAGGAGATGAGAGGATTTTGAAATAAGGGAAAGATGAAGTAAAAATAATTGGGGGATTTAGGCGAAGAGGGTTTTGGAGGGTTTTATTTTATTTATAATACAAAAATCCCCTAATTTGGGGAAACTCAAATTGTATTCGAGGGGTTTGGAAGGTTTTTGAGGTCTTAGATAAATTCTTAAATTATAATCTATTTTGTTATATTATTCTGAAAGTAAAAAATATATCAATGATAAACATTCATTTTTCTTTCTAAACAAAATCACTCTTTAAAAAAATGTTAAATTTTTTCTATTTTTTGTTCAAATCTCCTTCTTCTTAAGCCCTCTCATTCTGTTGGGAACCCAACAAGCACAGACAGAAAATAATAAGAGAAAAAAAAGGTATCCAACACCGAATAGAGTGATTGTTTGATTAATTGATAAAAAGTGGAATTACAGAAAGGGAAATGACCCTAGATCTGACACAGAGCAAGCTCCTATAGGTGGCTAGAGCCTCCTACTCATGACTAAACAAACAAAATATTTTCTAAGGTAATCCTCTCAACCTCTCATCCATTCCTTATGTAGTGGTACCGTACAATCATTCTCCCACTGCTCACTCTAACAGAATTATTGCTCTTTCCCCTTTTTGCCCCTTCTAGAATATACTCTCCATACCTTGGGCCCGTTGGGCTGATGATAAATCATAACCTCATTTGTCTCATCCTCTGTCACGTGGTTTCTATCAATACTCCCTTCTGAAACTTCAACCTTGTCCTTAAGGTGAAATGTCGGAAATTGACTTTTAATTGTCACAACATCTTCCCAGGTTGCTTCCTCTACGGTCTGACCCTTCCACTGCACTAACCACTGTTGCACTTCTTCACCTTGTTTCGTAACCTTCCTAGACACCAACACCTTGTTAGGTTCTGGCATAACTGGCTCTTCACCTTCCAACTGATCAGGCAAGTCCTTTTCATCCTGATAATTTCCTACAGCTTTCTTCAGCAAAGATACATGAAAAACGGGGTGGATTTTTGACCCTTCAGGCAGCTTTAACTTATACGCCACGGCACCAACTCTGTCAATCACCGGATATGGACCAAAATACCGTGCTGCTAACTTGGCATGAATACGAGAAACCACAGATTGTTGTCGATGTGCCCTCAGTTTAACAAACACCCATTCCCCAATCTCGAAGGATTTCTCGACTCTGTTAGCATCTGCCTGCGCTTTCATTCTGCTTTGCGCCCTTAGCAACTGATCTCGCAATTGCCGCAAAGCCTCATCTCTGTCCTGTAACTCCCTTGAAACAGCCTCCACAAGTGTCTCGCCAATTCCCCAACGTACCAAAACAGGTGCTTTCCTTCCATATACAACCTCAAAAGGGGTCTGTTGGGTTGCAGAATGGTAAGTAGTATTGAACCAGAATTCTGCCCAGGAAATCCAATTCATCCACACCTTGGGTTGATCGGCAGCAAAGCAACGGAGATAGGTTTCGAGACAACGATTAACTACCTCGGTTTGTCCATCGGACTCGGGATGGTAAGCTGAACTAAACTTCAAATGTGTTCCCTGTAATTTGAATAGTTCTCTCCAGAAATGACTCATGAATATAGGGTCCCGATCACTCACAATTGACATAGGGATGCCGTGCAACCTAATGATTTCTTTGACAAATATCTCGGCAAGACTCTTGGCTGTATAAGGATGTTTGAGGGGCACAAAATGAGAGTATTTCGATAGTCTATCCACTACAACCATCACCGCTTCATAACCTTTGGATTTAGGCAGCCCTGTTATGAAATCCATTGATAAGTCTTCCCACACCTTCATTGGGATAGGTAGAGGTTGAAGCAGACCTCCTGGAGATGCTGCTACATACTTATGTCTCTGGCAAGTATCACACCCTTTTACAAATTCTTGAACAGTATTCTTCATTCCCGGCCAATATACATTAGCCGCTATTCTTCTGTAGGTTCTCAAGAAACCTGAATGCCCTCCCTGCGGTGAACTATGAAATTCCTTCAACATTCTCGGAATCAACGCGGACTGTGATGACATAACTAACCTCCCTTTGTATAGCAACGTGCCATGTTGTATACTGAACTCAGGATGTGTTGTCGGATCCACTGATAAGTCCTGCCAAATTTTCTTAATCTTCTCATCAGCCTGTATCTCCTGCTGCACCTGTTGAAACTCTTCCCAAACTGGATACGACACAAAATTATTGAATTCACCTTCCTCTTGAATTCGTGATAGAGCATCTGCACCTTGATTCAATTTCCCAGGCTTATAACGTATGTCAAAATTGAAACCCAACAACTTAGCTACCCAATTTTGTTGCTCACCAGTTATGATTTTTTGTTGTAACAAATCCTTAAGACTTCTTTGATCAGTCAACACCACAAATTTCCTTCCTAATAGATAGGGCCTCCAATGTTGGATCGCTAGAACACAAGCCATCAATTCCTTCTCATATGCAGATTTTGCCAAGTTCCTCACACCCAAAGCCTTACTAAAGTAAGCAATACTAAAGTAAGCAATAGGATTTTTTCCTTGTCGCAAAATAGCCCCAACGCCAGTTCCCAATGCATCACACTCAATAACAAATTCTTTCTCAAAATCAGGCAAAGCAAGTACCGGTGCCTCTATTAATTTCTTCTTCAACACTTCAAAAGCCCGTTGTGCCTCTCGTCCCCAACCAAACGCATCCTTCTTGGTCAACTCAGTTAGGGGCTTGGCAATTTTTCCATAATCACGAATGAATTTTCTGTAATAGCCGGTTAATCCCAAAAATCCTCTCACGCCCTTTACATTCTTTGGTACCGGCCACTGCACCACGCTACTGTACTTGTTGGAATCCACAGCAACTCCTTCTTCCGAAATCATATGCCCCAAATATTCGATCTTGCTTTGCCCAAATTGGCATTTCTTCCTATTAGCCTTCAACCCATGTGTTTGCAGGATGTGAAATACTTGGCCCAATTGATTCATATGCTCCTGCCAGTCTTTACTATATATTAAGATGTCATCAAAAAACACCAACACCCCTTTTCTCAACATTGATCGAAACACTTCATTCATTAATCCTTGAAAAGTTGATGGAGCATTCATCAATCCAAATGGCATAACCAAAAATTCATAATGCCCCTCATGTGTCCGGAACGCCGTTTTGTGCACATCCTCACACTTTACTCTAACTTGATGGTATCCGGATTTTAAATCCAATTTGGAGAAATACCGTGCACCATGCAACTCATCTAGCAATTCTTCAATCACCGGAATTGGGAATTTATCCGGGATTGTCACCTTGTTAAGAGCACGATAGTCCACACACATACGCCATGTGTGATCCTTCTTTCTCACAAGTATGACAGGACTGGAATATGCACTTGAGCTGTGCCTAATGATTCCGGTTTCCAGCATCTCTTGAACTTGTCTCTCTATTTCATTTTTATGAAGGTGGGGGTAACGATAAGGCCTTACATTGACAGGACCTGCTCCTTCACGAATGTTAATTGCATGTTCCCTCCTCCGGCTAGGAGGTAACCCGACCACCTCTTCAAACACCCTTACATAATTATTCAACACCTTTTGTAGCTCCTGTTGTTGATCTACAGACAAGTGGGCTTCTATCACATCTTTTTGGGTCTTGTGAATGGTCCACAACACTCCTTCATTCTTGACTCTACTCCTGCTCAACAAACCTTGTAAAGCTTCCTCCTTATCAATCTTGCTCCTCAGTCCCTGTAATGTAATCCACCTTCCTCTACTCCAAAAATTCATAGTTTGTTTGTTCCAGTTTACAATAGTGTCTCCAAGAGTTTTCAACCATTCAATTCCTAAGATTAAATCAGGACCCCCTAATTCAAACAAATGTGGAGTGCATTCAATCTTAACTTCTCCCATCTCTACTTCTACTTTCTTACAACGCTCTTTAGTCGTGATTTGGAAACCATCTCCTAATTTAACTGACATGTCGGGTGTGTCCACAATCTCCCAACCCATTCTCCGCACCAGTCTTTGATCAATAAAATTATGCGTCGCTCCACTATCAATTAAAATCAAAACCGGCATGCCTTGAATCTTCCCTTGGAACTTGATTGTTTGAGGTTGCTCGCTGCTGGATGTGATGAAGGTATTCAGGCTCATAACACTCATCTCTCCATCAGTTTCGACATCTTCTTTTTCATTTACTTCCACCGCCAAAATATTTCCTTCTCTTGGATCTTCTTCCTCTTCTACTATTAACACCCTCAACTGCTTGTCTGGGCATTGATGCATAGGGTGAAAAGGCCCACCACATTTAAAGCATAAACCTTTTTGTTTTCTTTCCAATAACTGGGGGTATGTAAGATGTGAGAAACCTCTGTCTCGTGGCCCAGGTCTCTTTACTTCATTAGGGCTCATCCTATCCCTCTTTGGTCCAACATGGTTTTTGTCATTGTTACCTGTTCCACGTTCTTGGGCTCCTTTTACAAAAACCCAATCTGACCCTCTTTGACGACCCGCTCCATTATTGTTGGACTTATAACCCGACCCATATGATTTGGATCCCCGGTTATAGCTCAAACCCATCTCTCCCTTAACCTCTTTCTCTACGGCGCGTGAAACTTGGAAAAGCTTTCCTCGTGTCATACCACCCACCGTCATCAAGCTTCGTACCTTTCCACGGATTTCACTCTTCAAGCCATGTAAAAAGTATCCTTGGAATTGTTTGTCAGATAATTTTGGGATCTGAGCCATTAAATACTCGAAATTTGTGATGTATTCCTCAACCGTCCCCTTCTGACGTAGTTCCGAAAGTTGTTCGTAAACGTCACCATCCCCGTTTCCACCATATCGTTCCAAGAGCGCACTCTTCAACACTTCCCATGTTAAAACATCATCTTCATCCAGGAGAGAATTGAAGAAATGAATAGTTGGACCCTCCATACACAGTTGTGCCAAGTTCACCTTTACCTCCGGTGAGGTGTCTTGCACCCTAAAATAGACCTCTGCTCGTGAGATCCATCCCGCCGGATCCTCACCGTCAAACATCGGAAGTTCAACTTTCTTAACGGACTGACGAAACTCCGTCAAAGCATCTCCACGAAGATTGTTGACAACTGTACTCTGTGGTTCACCCTTTTTTGTCACTACCGGCGTACCTTTAACAGAGCAACTCGTGTCTCCGTCATCCACCGTCAACGTCCTACCCAAGCATTTTTCCAACATTGCCATCAAATTAGAGTGGTTTGTTGTCACCGTATTCTGCACCCCCTCGAGAGCAGAACGTACCTCCGAAATCTCGCTCTCTAGAACACCAACCCTAGCTTCCATCTTGGTGAATGCTGGAAACGTCACCTTCTTAGGTGGCATTCACTGGCTCTATCGTCGAAATATCCGGTAGGTCGGACCAATTTGTTGGGAACCCAACAAGCACAGACAGAAAATAATAAGAGAAAAGAAAGGTATCCAACACCGAATAGATTGATTGTTTGATTAATTGATAAAAAGTGGAATTACAGAAAGGGAAATGATCCTAGATCTGACACAGAGCAAGCTCCTATAGGTGGCTAGAGCCTCCTACTCATGACTAAACAAACATAATATTTTCTAAGGTAATCCTCTCAACCTCTCATCCATTCCTTATGTAGTGGTACCGTACAATCATTCTCCCACTGCTCACTCTAACAGAATTATTGCTCTTTCCCCTTTTTGCCCCTTCTAGAATATACTCTCCATACCTTGGGCCCATTGGGCTGATGATAAATCATAACCTCATTTGTCTCATCCTCTGTCACGTGGTTTCTATCACATTCCCTCCCCTTCAAACTCCCAAACAAAGCCTTAGAGACTAACAATAAAGGCGTTTTTTCATAAAGGATAGCCATAGAATTACGGTAGATCCATTTTTCTAAGCATCACAATTTAAACTTTTCTTTGTTTAAAATGAATCATTCAACGTATAAAAAATCAGCTCCTACATTATATAACACAGATATTGTAGACTTCCTAAGTTCTTGCCGTACCAGCGCTACTTATAGTCAAGGTTTTAAAAAACGGTCGCGGTCGCATAAAGGTTTTCGTGATTTCGGTCGGTATATGTGTATTGTAGTCGTCGCGGTGTGAATTAACAATAATTTGTTCTTCAATATAGAAAACAATGATAACGGTATCGGTCGAGCTAATATTTGTTCCTCCGCTGCCGCCCCCAATAAAAATAAAAATCAATAATTAAACTAAATAATTGATTATTTTAAAAGCATTTTTTATGTTTGATATTTTTATTTAAATTGTATTTTCAAAAAAATAAATAATAATTCTAATAAACATGATATTATAACATTAAAAAGTGTAAATGAGTAATAAAATTATTAAAAATAAATTAAATAAATTAAATTTAGTTGGCGGGTGCAGGGCGGGTACTAACATCACCCGCCCCTGCACCCGTAAATAAAAATCGGGTTTTCCCCGCACCCGGTTAAACCGGGTTTCCCCCGCTAATTTCGGGGAGGGGGCGGGTGGGACCCGGCGGGGTCGGGTTTATTTGTCATGCCTATGTATTTCATCATTGACAAAGTCCGTGTCCTTGTTTGTTCTCGATTTTATGTTGCATTATTGTTCTTCCTCCTTTTCTTACAGTGGCAAAGCTCTTTTTTTCACCTTTTTTGTCTAGGTTTGTATGTTGTTAGATTCTGATATCATATTAGATTTTTAGACCTAACTCATTCTATAAAACTAGTTCGTAATGATTGCCAGGGATTTGTAAGCTTTATTTTGGCATCTCTTCTCCACATATTTGGTCTCTCTTCTCCATTTCTTGCTTGAACCTATTGTGTTAGAAAGTACTGTTTTAATTGTAGGAAAAACCATAACTCAACACGGTTTAGGTTTCTACTTTTTTAAAATAGATATTATGATTTAAAAAAAATGTATTTTCTAATTATAAAAGAACTTTTCTTTGGAAGAATAATAACATTAAAGTGTTAGAATCACACTGTAAATAGTTATAAAATTTATGTTTCTCATGAAATATGATGTATGGGTGTTGAATCTTTTGCACGCAGGAGCTCTTGAGGCGCCAAGTCAGTAGAAATCGCGGTGGAATATCATTTATGTATGTTGTTCTTGTTGCTGTGATTGGCTTCATTTTGGGATACTTTTTGAAGAGGACATGACCAAAGCAATCTCCAGAAACTGCCCTAAAATAATGTGAGTGAGCAGCTAAAACTGTTTATTTGTATTATTATCGGCACCTTATGCTTCTAGAAATTTGTATCAACATAATAGATAGTTGTTCTTTTGAGTTACAGACACTAGACATGTTGAGGAAATTTCCATTTGAGAACCTTGTTATTTGATTTGCCAAATTCAGGAAAAACTTTTAGTAGCTTTTGCCAGATTTGGATTTTCTATATATGAAATTTTTTGAAGTCAAGCAATTTGTACCATAGTTTTAAATTGCGGTCATTGGAGCTGCTGTGATGTGCATTATGGCCGTTGTGGTGTGAGTTTTAATTGGGAGGTGTTTGCGGCGTGAGTTTTAATTGGGAGGTGTTAAAATTGTTAAGATTTTTCACTGGGTTAAGAAAAATTTTGAGTTTGATTAAAATACTTGAAGAAACATGAGTGAAATTGCCTGATGTGATTTGTAATGGCACTCGGACGAATGGTTTTAATTCACACCGCAATTGCGGTCCAATGCGGTTGCAGAGGCAATACTAATACTACGGCTGTAATTGCAGTTGTGGACTGCAATTTAGAACATGATTCAAATCTTTAATCAAATGACTACAACATGCAGATTTTAAATCTTTTAAAATATGATTTAAATAAATATAATACCAGCTATACATGTAGTTTGCATACCTACTCAAATTTTGCTTCAACTTAAAGCATATATAGGTAATCTAAATTTATATACATACTTGTATAGATATACATGTATATGACGAAAACACATTAATTATGCATGATTGCTTTTTATTAATTTAATAGACAACTCTCTGGAACCAGTGTTCCATTGCTTGTCCCACCAATGTTGTTACAGGATGAAGTTGCAGCTTTGTTTTTGTAATTCAAGTTTATATCTTCCAATTTGATCCCTTGGCATGGAGTACTTGGGCTGCAATCAAATGTTACTGCTTCTGCAGTTGCTGAGCTTCCTTGAATGTTTTTATAAGTAACTTCACTAATCTTAATTCCTGAAGTCTGTTAAATAATAAATTAACATATTTGTCAATAGTTCAGAACACTCTGTAGGGACTGGTCAAACATAGAGATTGTTAGGACCTAACGAGATTTGAATATGAGATCGTACTCTCATGATTCAAGTCTTCACCATCAGGCCAATTCTTGTGGGTAGTTTAGTTAATAATTAAAGTGTATAAGAAGTATAGAGAATATGATCATGGTAAGTTGGACTATTGATGATTACCTGGCCAGGACAACCTTGATTGTTGGGACAGTAATTCTGATCAATGATGATGGGATTCTCAACATTCTTCATTATGATGTTTTGAAACAAAACATTCCTAACAAAACCGTTACTGGGCCTGGCCCAAGATTTTATCCTAACCCCATTATCAGATCCAAAGAAGATTGCATTTATTAATGTCACATTTTCAACTCCTTTTTCATCCACTTTTTGCCCCAAACTTCCAATGCTATATCAAACACACATTTTAACAAAGTGTCAATATGCTACAAATTGACCTAGGTAATAATGATTAGGACTGTGAAAATAATTGTTGAATTGAATCTAGAACTGAATCAAACTAAAGTTAAAACAACAAAACTATTATGTTTGGTACGGTAATGTTTGACACGGTTCAATTCGATTTTGAGTAAATTAAAACAGTTCAGTTTTTGACCTTTAATTCAATTCGATTTTATTTTTTGACTGAACTGTATACTTGATAATGATTAAGGATATTGAGACTAACCTTACACCATGACCAGGGCCACATTTAATATTTGACATGAAGAGATTGTAAGTGGCATCACCAATTGATATGCAGTCATCACCTGTTTGCATTGTACAACCATTTATAGTAACCCCATTTGATTTTTCAACATGAATTCCATCAGTGTTTGGGCTCTTGTCTGGTGCAATAAGTTTCACATTTTTCACAACAACATTGTTGCATGTGTTGATTACTAGGTGACTTAGTTGGCTGTTAATTGAAGTAATGCCACTAACCACCAAGTTATTCACCCAATTGAATGTCACTGTCTGCAATTATATATTATAACTTGTTTAAAATTTTGCTCATGCATTTCTTAAATCATAGTGTATGTGTTCGAAAAGTGTTTTCTATAACATTTTAGATTCGTTAAATAATCAATATATCTAGACTATAATAGATTAAATATTTTGATTATTCAATAAATCTAAAAAATAAACTTTCTTTCATACACGACAGAATAATATTGAATTAACATACCCTAGCTCCAACGGGGCAATTCTTCCCGGATCTTCTACAATTCCAAAACCCGACTCCTTTAGCATCCAATTTCCCTCCAGAAACAACGAGATTATCAACATGATTAAACAAAATCCAAAACCCTGAATCTCCAATTGCATTATAATCTTCGGGAGCCACAAGTGTTCCACCATTGAGAAATGTCACCTTCCTCTTACATGGCCCTCGAAAGTTAATGGTGTTCAACAAGTACCTCCCTTTTGGAACATAAATTGTTGCAGGAACTAAGCTAGAACAAGCTGATTTCCAAGCATTTACAAATGCCTCAGTTGAATCACTTTTTCCATCTGGTTTTGCTCCAAATTTAACTACATTGTAAGTAGTAGTTGAAGCTGCATTTGATGAACCTATCAATGTAATGCATAAGATACATAAAATTACCAAGATAGTCTTAGTACCTAGGAAACAATCCATTACAGTGTATTTCAAACCTATGATGTTCGAAAATTTCCGTAAAAAAAAAGTCGGTTTTTCGGTTTTTTAGTAGTGAATTATGGTTTTTGTGCTTTGTTAATTGGTAGTTGAAACGGTTAGAATGTTGCAACTATATATATAGTGTTGGATAATTGTTTAATTTAATTTTTGCTTAAATATATTAAAAGTCAATCATGCAAATTATTTGAGTTATTAGCCACAAAGTCAAAAGATGAATGTATCTCATGTAATTGCTTTGAGATAAATAAAATGATTTTCACAAAATAAGGTGATAGAAAATCAACATACATGTGATGAGCCGATTACTTTGATTAACTAAAAGGGTTTAGTTAACTTAAGGAGAAATTCACCTTTAAAATATCATTAATGAAACTTGAATGTGTGCCAAAACACAAGTACAACATTAAGGGATAGAGAGTACATTGAATGAATCATAGAGTTAGTTAATATTGTTATGTAGTATAGTTAAAGCTATAGATAGCGTAAGGGATTAATAGCTGCGGAATGCATAGTGAGTGATGTTTTAAGTTTTGAGAATGAAAATAAGTTTAAGCAAACAAGACCTTAACGTATTTGGCCATATTTACGTGTAGTTAGCTATAGGTGTGCTCAATCAAGTTTCTTGTGCCACAAAATTTGAATGTTTGTGGTGGATATGTTACTCCTCCCTCAACAAAAACTTTATTGTCTTGTTTCTATTATTATTTTATAATATCATTAGGAAAATACTTATATTATCAAGAAAACGCAATCAGAAATGTCCGTGCTTGTTAGATCTGTCACATTATTTTATAAGACCACCTCCAACGGTGGTTTTTCAGATTGATTTGCCAGCTTATATTGAAATTGTCAACAAAAAAGTTGTTCCAGCTGGTGAACGGTACAAATATAAGCAACTGCTCTTCATATTTTTTTATTATTAAAATAATCAATTAGCCGTTGTGCAACGACTTTATTTTTTTATTTTTTTTTAAAACTTTTTTTATTTATTATAAATATAGATTTGTTGGAAAATTGTATACCAATCCTATTTTCTCTCACTTTTATTTACTCTTTAATTTTAAATTTTTCTCTCACAATTTCATCATTTTATTCATAAATTTTTAATTTTTTTCCAACAATTTCTTCTCATTATCATTTTATTTCAAATTTTCATCTTTTTATTTCAAATTACATTTGTTTAGGCCAAATGGATCCTAATCATTTTCATTATCAACAAGCTATGTTCAATTTCATGCAAAATTATCAAAATCTTAATTCTCAAAATTCTCAAATTCCATCAGTACCACCAAACCCCGCCATATTTTTTCCGTCACCAAACAATCCAAATATGTATCAAAATCCTAATTCTCAAAATTTTCAAGTTCCACAATTTTCTACTCAAGTTGGTGTTGAAAAAGAAGAAAGGGTTCTCGTTAAAAAAAATCTCGAGAGCAATTTACAAGGGATGAGGATATATGTCTTATCCAATCATGGCTCAATATTTCAAAGGATCAAATTGTGGGAGTTGATCAAAAAGCTGAGAGTTTTTGGCATAGAATCGCTGCAAATTATAACCAGTATCGCGGGCAATTGCGAGAAAAGTTAAGTGGTCAATTAAAATGTCGATGGCATCGAATAAATGCGTCGGTTCAAAAATTTATTGGGTGTTATAGACAAGCTGTCAATGGAAAGAAAAGTGGGACATCGGAGAACGATATCATGGCTGCTGCACATGCTTTTTATGCTCAAGATCAAGGTACAACATTCAATCTTGAGTATGCATGGCGATTGTTAAAAGATGAAGCTAAATGGGGCATCATCGGAGAATCGATTGAAAATTCTTCAAAAATGACACAGACTTCTGCTAGTGGGGCATCATCGGAGATCCCTGATACACCTTCAAGTTATGAGTTTAACTCATCATCATCAATGGAGCGTCCAATGGGACAAAAAACAACAAAAAGGAAGGGTAAGGCAAAGGAAATTTCAATGCAACGAAGATGAAAGGAATAAAAGAGCAGAAACAATGGAAAGACTTGCGCAAAGTAAGGAGGACGAGATAGAATTAAAGGTAATGCAAATCATGATGAAAGACACTTCTACTATGAACGAAAGTCAACGAGATATTCATGAAAAATATTGTAATAAAATGAAAAAAAAATATGGACTGTAGTTAGTACCACTTTAAATTATATGTAAAATGGTCATTAGTACCACTTTAATTTATCAAATCTTATGTAAAATAGTCATTAGTACCACTTTAAATCATAATAAATATTATGTTGTTCAAACTAGCCGTTATTCAAACTAGCCGTTATGAATAACTAGCCTTTATTCAAACCATTATATATACTACCACTTATGTCATTGTTTTCTCATTCTCTTCTTATTCCTCACTAAAATGGATTCAGACAATTCAGATAATTACGATCAAGAATTTTGGGAGTTAGTTGAAGAAGAATTTATGGACGATAGTGATGAAGAACAACATCTTCAAAATGAATGTCAATTTGGAAGTTCCTCTAGGCTAAAGAGAAGAACTACGGTAGATCGAGGTCGTGAAGAAGGGCACAATCGGTTATTCAATGACTGCTTCTCAGAAAATCCAGTATACACAGATGTACAATTCCGAAGAAGGTTCATAATGCATATGCATGTGTTTCTTCGAATTGTAGATGCCCTCGGCAATCATGGTGAATATTTCCAAATGAGGGTCGATGCAACTGGTAAGATGGGTCTTTCACCATTGCAGAAATGCACATCTGCTATTCGTATATTGGCATATGGGTCTCCCGCTGACATTGTAGACGAATATGTTCGAATCGGTGAAAGTACCTCAATTGAGTGCTTAGAAAGATTCGTTAAGGGCGTGAATGTTGTATTTGGGGCTGAGTATTTGAGAAAGCCTAACAACACTGATATTGAACATCTTTTACAAATGGGTGAGTCACGTGGCTTTCCAGGTATGTTGGATTCCATTGATTGTATGCACTGGGAATGGAAGAATTGTCCTGTTGCATGGAAAGGACAGTTTTGTCGAGGTGATCATGGTAAACCCACGATCATGCTTGAAGCAGTGGCATCACAAGACTTGTGGATTTCGCATGCATTTTTTGGTATTGCAGGTTCAAACAATGACATTAATGTGTTAAACCAATCCAATGTGTTTAACGATATTTTGGAAGGACGTGCTGCTAATGTGCAATATACAATCAATGAAACTCCTTATAATATGGGGTATTATTTAGCGGGTGAAATATATCCTGAGTGGGCTACATTTGTCAAAACTATTTCGATGCCACAAGGAGAAAAGAGAAAACTATTTGCACAACACCAAGAATCAGCTAGAAAGGATGTGGAACGGGCATTTAGAGTGCTTCAATCTCGTTTTGCAATAATACGTGGTCCAGCGCGTGCTTGGCACATGGAAACCCTCAAACATACCATATATGCTTGCATCATATTGCACAACATGATTGTCGAAGACGAACGACACACATATGGAGGTGATTTTGATTACTCTTACGATAATGTCGGTAACAACAACTCAACGACTGAAACATTTAACGGTCCTCATCCGAATCTTGCAACAAGACTACAAAGAAGAGCAACTCTTCGTGAAAAACAAGTTCATCGCCAACTTCAAGGAGATCTAGTCAAGCATATTTGGGAACGTTTTGGACATGAGGACGATGGAAATTAAATTTGAGTAATTATGTTATGTAATTTATTTTTATTTTTTTTAATTATATGTCATGTATTTGAGATTAATTTTAATTATCATTTTAAATTTTTTGTTTAATTTTAATTTTATTTATTTTATATTAACTTAAATTTAAATAATTTAAATTATTATTTTAAAATCAAATAAAATTTAGTATGAATAAAATATTAATATACAAAGTAAAATTGTGGGATCCAATATAAGTTCTTTAAAATTGCACAATTGGAGTGAAAAATGAAGTGAATTACTTCAATATGATGTGGCTTAATGAGTCCCACAAAAAACTCAAATATGAATAACACCATTGGGATGCTCTAAGATTCTTAAGTCTATTTTATAAGTCACTATCATTTGAGCTACATCAACAAATTTGATTTTAATGTATTTGTTCATTTGATGATTCAAACCTGTGGTACTATAATTTTTATCGCCAACCTTTAAAATCTTTAAACAACCAATACACTTAGTCCTAGCAATCTCATCTTTATCCTTTCCTATTTTAGTAAACACTTTCCAATCATCAACATTAAAAGTTTTGGTGTTCTTAGACTTAGGTGAAAAATCATTTCCACCTTGAACAGTTTTATTTTCATATACCAATTTAATCACATTCACTTCATCTCTACAATTTCATCCACAACTGTTTGTGATTCCTTTTCAAATTATCACATAGGTATACAAATAAAAACATTATTACATGGTTAAAATGAATAAATTACTTCGTTTGAATGAACCCTAAAACAATCAAGAATTCTTAGCATATAGCATTTTCATCAAATCCTTTTTTTTAAAACTAAAACAGTATACTTCGTTTGAATGAACTTTAAAGAGAGTAAATTACATGATAAAATTTATTTATATAGTTTGAATGTAATACCACATATCCTTTTAAATGTTTATTGTGAGATAAATTGAGTAATTAGTATATTAAGAAGATATTAGACCTTAATCAAATTCTTAATCCTTACAATTAGTAGAGTGACATTTTGGAGATTCGAAGGATTTGACAAGGGTAAAATGGTAATTGCTCAAATTGGATAAACTAAAAGACAAAGAAGATTACTACATATCATTATCCACTCTCTTTTTCATTCATTTTTCTTATTTTTTGCAAAGTTTGTAAAGAAAAAAAGAGAAGATAGAAATGAAAAGAAGAAGAGAAAGAGAAAGAAGAAGAAACTCACGGAGGAAGCACTTGAAAGAGATGAGAGAATTATCATCATCATCAACTTCATCTCTTGAAACTCAATTCAAGTTTTTATTAAGGCGGGTT